CCCTATATATACCCAGAACCTCCCCTAAATAAAGGAGGCTTGATCAGAATCTTTGTCTTGCCTCCATTTCTCGTGTCTCCTGTCCTTTGTCCCCTCTTCAATTCCCCGCTCCTCCCCCAGGTGACCTTCGTTGACTGACCCGCTGGTTCGGGACAATAATGAGTATGTTGTGGCTTGTCCTTGTGGATTTGATCTGCATTTTTATGATTAATGATGTTGAATATCTTTTTATGTGGACATTGGCTATTTGTATATCTTACTTGGGAAAAAAATTTCTTTCTTTCCTTTCTGACCATTCCCTCTCTTCTCTCTCTCTCTTTTTTTTCCATGCTACTCATGGTTGAATGGAGGATCTCACATTTGCAAATGCTCTCCCACTGAGCTAGATGCTTGTTTTTATTTTTTATTTTGAGATAGGGTCCCACTAAGTTGCTCAGGCTGGTTTTGAACTTACAGTCCTTTTCCCTCAGCCTCCTGGATAGCTGGAATTACATGCATGTGCCACCACACCTGGCTAGTTCTTGGCACATTTTTAAAAAAATGTATCAGTTACTTAATTAGGTTCTTGGTAAGAAATTTAGAACACTAATTTATGGGATAAATTTCATTTGTCAGAGCAAAAAAGAATCGCAGGTAGCCCCAGAGCTGAGGAACAGCTTTGATTTTTGCTAAAATCTGTGAGTTCACCCACTTTCTGATCCATCTTGCACTGCTCTGAAATCTGGTATTTCTCTTTCTCAATGTTGAAGATCTCACCCTCCTGGTGTCTGGGTTTCCACAGCTTCTTCTTGAAGTAAGCATCAGTGAGGTGTTTGGGGATTTTTCCCTTCGCTGATACCAATTTTTGCAGAGGTGGCAATGGCAAATTTCTGGTGTGTTCTTCATAAAGGAACATAATTAAGGCTAAAAGGTCCAGTCACAAGTAGCAAGCCACTGGCCAACTGCTTCAGGAAGACCGCTCTCTTGCCTCTGTGACGCCCATTGAGGATGATGAAGATGGTACCGGGAGTGGTGCTAGCTCGGAAGTTTCCTCACATGCTGACTGAAGGGTTTCTTGCTGTGGCTCAATAGCTTTCGGGGCACATCTTCAGTAGGGTATCTAGGCATTTTTTGAAGTTTAACCGCCAGGTACCTCCATTCTTGTCCCCACCAACTGGTTTTATGATGATAGCAAGAATTTTCTCCTTTTTCTTCTCAATCTTTGTTTTAGCAGCTGTGTACTTTCTCTTGTACAAAGCCTTTCTGGAATATATGGCAGATCGGGAGTATCTACCAATGCCTCTAATCAGGACAGGATTTTGGCTGCAGTGAGGCTGCCCCTTCTTAGACTTTTTTGCCTTTACCTTACCCTTTTTACTAGTACCACTGGCAGAAGCCTACTTGGCTTTGGGTTTCTTCTTTTTAGTGTCTGGCTTTTAAATTTTTTCACCTGCCACCTTGCAAGAAGAGAAAGCTCTTGGTAGATATTCAATTAAAAAAAAAAAACTCTGGGCAATCATATTCTTGATGCAGACTGCTTACAGGTACATTCGAAAATTTTTCTACTCATGATTAAGTGCGTATATGTTTCAAAAATAACCCAATACATGATTTAAAAGAAAAATATCAGTCTGGTACAATTTTTTGTGTGCCAGAAGCAATGATCCTGAGAGTCCAAATTAAAAACTTTTATAAGGAAAAACCCCCATAACTCTATAAATGTCTCAGAAATTTGACTTTAAGTGGGGGAAAATTAAAATAACACAGAGCTTTCTAAAAGGTCTTTAACAAGATACCTTGGGAGCTCAATTAAAAATAGTAAATACTAAACAAGTTTCAGCGTGGCTTCAAAAATCTTTATATGGTGATTTGGAAGGATGATACTGGATGAGAAGTGTTATTCCTTGTGTATGTCTACAAGCCTCTCAGTTGTCATAATTGCCTCTGTAATTCCCTCCTGAGTATCAATCATAGCCTCGTTGGCTGCCACTGTAGTCTCTGTATCGCCCATAACCATATCCATATCCTCCAAGTTGACTGTCATACCTGCCACTCCCATAGCCTTGGTCCCCACCACCTTTAGAACAGCTGCGACCATGTCCATGGGCCCCAAAAGTACCCCCTCCTCTGGTGCCCTGGGCAGATTTCCCTGCTTGGTCCACACAGATCTGGCAACCATCCAGGGACTCTCCATTCATGGATCTCATGGCATTTGAGGCATGCTCTGGATTGGAATAGGTGATGAAGCCAAAACCCTGGAATCACTGAGTTTCCTGGTCCTTAACAACAACCACCTCAGAAATAGGCCCAAAGCTCCTGAAGTAGTCTTCCAGTGTCTGCTCATCCCTATTGAATTGAGCCCACCAGTGAAGAGCTTCCCTTCTTCAGAAGACATGCCAATGAATTCAAATCCTGGGAATCAGAAAGTAATAAGGAACCATGGGGGGGGGGCAGGGCAAGAGCTTGAAGAACAAGGAGAACAGGCTCTTGGCTCATTTTTAACTGAATTATCTGCACTTTTGTTGTTGCATTGTAAGAATTCTTTATACATTTCAAACATTGTAAAAATTCTTCATATTTTTGGCTTCTTAGAAGATATGTAATTTAAAAATGCTTTGCCTTATTCTGTAGCTTGTTTTATTTTCTTTTTGGTGTCTTTTGATATATAAAAGTTTAATTTTTTTTTT